AGCTTTTCTCATATAAACACCGGGAAATAAAGATCCCAATGGTAGTAATAAGGCAAAATGAACGTGAAAACACTGAGAATGGGCCGGCCCGTGGCTCACTCGGGAGAGTGTGGTGCTGATAACACGAAGGCCCCGGGTTCAGATCCCATATAGGGATGGCCGGGGCGCTCACTGGCTGAGCGTGGTGCAGCCGGTCACAAAAAGGACAAAAAAAAAAGAAAGTAGCTTGACAGGGCCGAGCCCGTGGCGCACTTGGGAGAGTGCAGCGCTGGGAGCGCAGCAGCACTCCCGCCGCGGGTTCGGATCCTATATAGGGATGGCCGGGGCGCTCACTGGCTGAGCGTGGTGCAGCCGGTCACAAAAAGGACAAAAAAAAAAGAAAGTAGCTTGACAGGGCCGAGCCCGTGGCGCACTTGGGAGAGTGCAGCGCTGGGAGCGCAGCAGCACTCCCGCCGCGGGTTCGGATCCTATATAGGGATGGCCGGGGCGCTCACTGGCTGAGCGTGGTGCAGCCGGTCACAAAAAGGACAAAAAAAAGAAGGAAGTACCTTGACAGATACATGTAATGCCCTAACTTATGCATTCACCTGATTTTGGCCTCTGAGAAAATTCTGCTACCGGCTGTGTATTAGTCCATGTTGTGTTGCTATAACAGAATACCTGAGACTGGGTAATTTAATAAGAAGAGAGGTTTATTGGGCTTATGATTCTAGGACAGCTCCCTCTGGTGGGGCCTTGGGCTTCTAATCATGGTGAAAACTGGCAGGCAGCTGATGGGTACAAGCAGATCACATGGTGAGAGGAAGCAAGAAAAGGGGGGGAGGTGCCACCTTTTGAGGGAACTAAAACAGTGAGAATTCACTCACTACCCCCACCACCCAGGGCAAGCATTAATCCATTCATAAAGGATCCACCCCCGTGACTCAGCTCCCAACACTACTGCATTGGGGATCAGATTTCCACGAGTTTTGGGGGGACAATACATCCAAACTCTATCATTCTACCCCTGGCCCCCAAAACTGATGTCACACTCACATACAAAATACAATCATACCATCCCAATAGTCCCAAAAGTCTTAGCTTGTTCCAGCACCAACTTAAAAGTCCAAAGTCTCATCTGAGACCAAAGGCAAAACTCCTTCCAGCTGTGAACCTATAAAAATCAAAAACAAATTTATCTACTTCCAAGATACAATGGTGGAACAGATGTTGAGTACACATTCCCATCCCAAAGGGAGGAATAGGCCAAAAGAAAGGAGAAACAGGTCCCAAACAAGTCAGAAACCCAGCAGGGCAGACATTAAATCTTACAGCTCCAAAATAATCTTCTTTGACTCCCAGTCCTGTATCCTGGGCACAGTAAGGCATCTGGGACCCCAAAGCCTCAGGCAGCCCTGCCCCCACAGTGCTGCTGGGCACAGCCCACTGGACTGCACTGGTACCTGTGGTTTTTCCAGGCTGGTGTTGCACACTGCCAGCAGTCCTAAGGTTCTAGGGTCCTGGCGCAGCCCTCCTCCCTTGGCTCTACTAGACGTTTACCTGATTGGGGCTCTCTGTGGGGTCTCTGACCCCACATTCCTGCTGGGCATTGCTCTAGTAGATGACCTCTGCTCCACCCCTGCAGCAGGTCTCTGCCTGGGCCCCCAGGCTTTTCCATACATACTCTGAAATCTGGGTAGAGGCTCAGATTTCTTTCAACTTCTGCCAGACTGCAAATTTAACACCACGTGGATGCCAAGGTTTCCAGCTTGTGCTCTCCAGAGCTGGTGTACGAACCACACTTGAGGCTGCTTGAGGCAGGGCTGCTCCAGCCAGAGTAGCTGGAATGCAGGGAGCAGGTTCCTGAGGGCAGCTGTGCACCAGGTCTCTCCTCTGGAACAACTCCGTCCTCCTAAGCCTCCAGGTCTGTGATGGGAGGGGTTCCCTTCCAGACTTCTAAAATGCCTGAAGGGCCTTTCTCCCACTGTCCTGGCTATTAGCATCTGGCTGCCTCATAGCCATGCTAATGTCTTTAGCAACCAGTCCCTTTTGCTCCTGAAAGGTCTCTCTCATTCTCTACCTCGTGGCCAGACTGCAAATTTTCTAAATGTTTACACTCGAAGGGCCTTTCTCCCACTGTCCTGGCTATTAGCATCTGGCTGCCTCATAGCCATGCTAATGTCTTTAGCAACCAGTCCCTTTTGCTCCAGAAAGGTCTCTCTCATTCTCTACCTCGTGGCCAGACTGCAAATTTTCTAAATGTTTACACTCTGCTTCCCTTTTAATTATAAATTCTGTCTTTATGTCATGCCTTTGCTACCATAACTGAGTGTAGGCTGTTGCAAGTAACCATGCAGCTATCTGAATCCTTTGCTGCTTAGCAATTTCTTTTGCCAAACATTCTGTTTCACAACTCTTAAGTCTCACCTTCCACAAAGTCCTAGGGCATGGATACAATGCAGCCAAGATCCTTGCTATGGTGTAGAAATGGTGATCTTTTGTCAAATTCCCAATAAGTTCCTCATTTCTATCAGAGACCTCATCATCAGCATGGCCTTTACTGTCCACATTTCTATCAGCATTCTGGCCACAGCCACTTAATGAATCTCTAAAATGTTCCAAACTTTCCCTCATCTTTTTGTCCTTTTCTGATTCCTCCAAAGTCCTCCAACCTTTGCCCATTAACCAGTTCCAAAGCCGCTTCCACATTTTCAGGTATCTGTATAGCAACACCACACTCCTGGTACCAATTTTCTGTATTAATCTGTTTTTGTGTTTCTATTACAGAATACCTGAGACTGGGTAATTAATAAAGAACAGAGGTTTATTTGGCTTATACCTCTGGGACAGCTGCATCTGGCATGGGCCTCAGGCTGCTTCTGCTCGTGGTGGAAAGCAGCAGGCAGCTGGCATTACAAGCAGATCACATGGCGAGAGGAAGCAAGGCAGGGAGAGGTGCCAGAGTCCTATAAACAACCAGCTGTCGTGGGAATTAATAAAGCAAGAACTCCCTCACTGTCCCCACCTGCCAGGGACAGCATTAATCCATTCATGAGGAATCCACCCGCATGACTCAAATAGCTCCCAACACTGCCACATTGAGAATCAGATTTCAACATGAGTTTTGGGGGGCAACATATCCAAACTCTATCATGGACATTCATTCTTTTTTCTTTTTTTTTTTTTTTTGGCAGCTGGCCAGTACAGGGACCCAAACCCTTGAACTTGGTGTTATACACTGTGCTCTAACCAACTGAGCTAACTAGCCAGCCCCATACTTTTATTCTTTATTCCTTTTCATAGGGTTAAATATTTCATAGTAATTTTTTTTTTTTTTTTTAGCAATGCAGTGACAAGCATTACAGGCAAAAGATCCTGAGGCTAGAAAGAGCTTAGTGGACTTGTATGAGTAGAACTGAAAAAGGCCACAATATCTGGAACACAGTGAGAAGTGGTACAAAATGAGGCTAGAGAGGTAAGCAGAGGCCAAGTCATAAGGACATTGGAAGCCATTTTACGGATTTGTTGCAGTGAATGGAAAGCCATGAAAGGGTTCCAAAGGATTTACACAATCTAAATTAAATATTAAGACAATTCTGGCCGCTCTATTTGAGGGTTTTTGGTAAGTGCTAAGTACCTAACATATAGGGTCTAAACATATATTGTATTTCTCACTAGACCTGATCTGGGATAACCAAAGGCATAAAATTGTCTCCAGCATGCCTGGTGATTCTCAGAGATGACTTCCCTATACTGCACTGGATTAGATCTTTATATTATGGCCCAAGATGAACCCCTATGCAATGATATTGTCATTATTCAACTTATAGCACAGATATACTAGTGGAAGAGAAGGCTGCTGTTACATGCTAGAGGAGTATGAAGGATGGGGGAAAATGTGAAGGTTTCAAGGAGGTGGTTCTCAGGCTGACTCACGAAGGATAAGGAGAATACGAATTGATGAAGAGGAATGAGTGGGCATTCCAGAGGAAGTGGAATAGTACTCACAAAACTGTAGAAGAATCAGCATGTTATATGGGAACATTGGCTTGGTTATTAACCCAAGTCCCATTGTGGATTTTTAGTAGTAGAAACCATTGGATGGGTAGAATGGAGATAGATTAAGGAATTAGCACGTTTTTCTTGAAGGCAAAGATTTTTGAGCAGTGGTGGGCCTTTGAACAGAATACCTGTTTCTACTTCACATATATATACACACACAAATGTAAAGGTAAAAAGAGAAAATGTGGAATATATGCAGACTTTTATTGTTAGCGGCTGAAGGCAACCTTGCCACCTCCAGTGCTTCTTATGAAATGCACCTGCCACATTGCTACCAGATTCCCTCATTCCCTGCTCAGAAGACTCCTGCACTCTACTGCTTAAAGGGTTAAGTCCGAACTCCTTAGCCCAACATTCAAGACTCTCCAAAATTCTTCCCTAACATACCTCTCTGAAAAGTCATTTGAAGGAAACTAATACTCTGGTTAAATGGTTTATAAATTAAATTCTAAAGAGGTCACTGCATCTCCCACCGACATTCCCCCACTTATGTGTTCTTTCTCCCTGGAAAGCCTCATTTCCTGTTTACACTTATAAGTATCATGCAGGTATTAAAGTCTAGTGCAAACCCTATATCCTCTAGGAAGACTTTTCATTACACTGTAGACTATATTGACTTCTTCTCAGAAAGCAATAGTTCTTAAAGTCTCTAACACGTGTGTGGCAGAAACTTGTTAGTTTATAAATTCTTTTTTTTTTTTTTCTTTTTGTGACCGGTAAGGGGATCACAACCCTTGGTTTGGTGCCGCCCGCACCGCACTCAAGACAGTGAGCGCACCGGCCATCCCTATATGGGATCCGAACCCGCAGCCTCGGCGCTCCCAGCGCCACTGCGCTCCCAGCGCTGCACTCTCTTGAGTGAGCCACAGGGTCGGCCCTAGTTTATAAATTCTTGGTGTCCCCAGCTGCTCCTGGCACAGTGCCTTGTATATCAGTAGGCCGCACAACGGTTAGTAATGATGATCACCCCTCAGTTTGAGCTTGTTAACCACCGATCGGCCTCTCCACTCCGGCCACTGTCAGGCAAGCGCTCCACGTGGCCAGCACCAGGCTTGGGGTTTCGGGCCCTGACACAGAATAGGGAAGAGGGGTGGGTTGCTTCAGTACAAGGATTGTTTGCTAGTTGTGAAGTCCCCCACAATTTTAGTAATAATAAGTGAAATTGAACTTGCCTTGAGGGAGAGTGCTGAGGTGGTGATGTTGTGGGGGGAAAAAAACGTTCCTCACAAACACCGGGTTCCCCTCGCAGGGCGAAAAGCCCGGACAAAAGTCTGCCCAGGGCTCAGGCGCCGCAGGGGCCAGCTCGGGTGGGCTTGAGCCTCCGGCCGCTGATTGGCTGTCCGCGGCCTCCGGTGATTGGTCGCCGCCGCGAGGGCCGCCGGGACTGGCACGCGGCGCCTGCCCTCGCACGGCACCGAGAGGAGGCCATGATGGCGGGCGGGCCGTCGAGGGCTCGG